TAATTATGGAGTTTCCTGTGTTTTATTGGATATATAAATGATTTATCTGAGGAAATGGCTCATGTTGCGTTCCCAGATGAACGTTATAATAAACCCAAACTCACGACAACATGCAGAGATGGAGTTTGAGACGCTGCACACGTGTAAATGATAACGGTTCCTGTGAACGGAGCCGCCATGTAACGCATGTACTTAACCTACACACATGTAAATAATTAAAGCGCATATACTGTATTAGAACTGCATCGCATAAAATTATTTAATTAAATTGTAGCGTTTGTGAATTCACAATTATGCTTAATTATGATTTTTAAATCGGTTTAATATATCATGCAGCCTTGGGAAACAGACGAATAATGTGTTTTATGGATTCTCGTCCATGAAATGCACCACTTCTGGTATTTAGTTAGTTGACGCGAGCAAAATGAAGTCGAGGATTTTTAAAAATCGAATAGTCGAATAAAATCGATGAATTCGCAACAGCCCTAATGTTATGTGAACTCTTATTTGTGTTGTCTAATCTACAAGTAACCTAATTACTAGTCATTCTATCATGCAGCCTTGGGAAACAGACGAATAATGTGTTTTATGGATTCTCGTCCATGAAATGCACCACTTCTGGTATTTAGTTAGTCGACGCGAGCAAAATGAAGTTGAGGATTTTTAAAAATCGAATAGTCGAATAAAATCGATGAATCGCAACAGCCCTAATGTTATGTGAACTCTTATTTGTGTTGTCTAAACTACAAGTAACCTAATTACTAGTCATTCCGACTAGTCAGTTTTGAAAATGTAGCATTACCAGTGTACCAATAATGTTTGCATATTCAATAGCAAATTATTGCTGCTCATGTTCTTGTGTTTTCAACCCAGCATGCATCAGCGGATGTAGAAAAAATGATTTTGGGGAACAAATGTGACATTAATGAGAAGAGGCAGGTGTCAAAAGACAGAGGCGAGAAGGTGAGCGACCTTGTTCCTTGAGCTTCTCCTATACCACTTTTTTTTTCAAAACAAGCAAAAAGAGCATAATATGCTAGTATAATATAATTGAACTTTCATTGTATAAGACTCTACAGCAATGATGCCACCTCCCACAAGAATGTGTTTAGTTATTCACCACGAATGGCTAGAACTGCTAAACAGTCCAGAGAAATCATACTTGTATTTTCCATACTAAAATCGGCCTGTACTCGTTTAGCTGGCGTTAGAGTACAGCATCAAGTTCATGGAGACGAGTGCGAAGGCTAATATCAACGTTGAGAACGTAAGTGTAAATGGCTTTTCTGATGAATCCTCATTTCATTTCCTTATCATATCTGCGGCTGACTGAATGTTTAAAGGTATAATCGAGACATAATGACGCTTTCTGCTCTACCCACAGGCATTCTTAACGCTCGCCAGAGACATAAAAGCAAAGATGGACACAAAATTGGTAAGACTTTCCCTTTCTGTGCTTTAGGTTTGTGTAAAAATTTATTTAGTTTGATAATTGGGTGACACTGTACAATAAGGTTTCATTAATTGACTACAGTAGTTAACATGAACAATACTTCTACAGCATTTATTAATCTTAGTTGATGTTAATCTAATATAAAAGTTGTATCTGTTAACATTAGTTTATGCACTGTGAATAACAAACATTTTTATTAACTGACATTAACAAAGGTTAATAAAAGCTGTTTGTTCATTAGTTAATGCATCAGTGTTAACAAGTGAGACAACTAGCATGTGAAACACGTGTGTTACACGTTTAATCGATTGCTATGCAGTTATCATCTTGGAAATAAGTTGATTTTGCATGGTCAACATTTGGATGTCTTATTAAATAAATTAAAGAGTAAATAATGACCATTTTTGGTAATACTTTGCTTAAAGCCTTTCTAGCCTAAAGCATACAGCATTTTTATAGCCTTTAATGCAGTATAAAAGTATTCATAATGTATGTTGTAATGCATTATACATTTTCATAAATAATTGTAATCAAAGTTAAAATGCATTATAATGTTTGCAGATTCCAGTGTATTTTCATAAATTGTAATGAAAGTTAAAATGCCTTGTAACATTTGAAGATACGTTTTTACATCTGAAATTGGTTGTTTTTTAAATGCATTGTTTTCTTAAGGTGCAGCAATGAATAGATAAGTATTATAATATATTATAATGAGATAATATGCATTATTAATGAGATCTTACAATGCATTATAATAATTGCATTAAAAAATACTTTTATAATTATATATATATATATATATATATATATATATAAGGCTTCAAGTAAAGTGTAACCACAGTTTTTCTTTTGGATGAACAAATCCGATATCTCTTGCTCAGTATTAGCACAATTTTTGGCTAGCTTGAGCTGTAGAAATAAAATGAGTCTGAGTCTTGAGTCTGATGAGGTTTGTTTTTCTTTGCTCGCACAGGAGGGCAACAATCCTCAGAGCAGCAACCATGGAGTGAAAATTACCACTGAACAGCAGAAAAAGAGCAGTTTCTTCCGCTGTGTGCTACTGTGAAGACCAAGGCCTTACTGTCGGCCCGTGGGCTGGACACGAATGGACTATGCTCTCCCTCTTAGCACTCCTCCTCCTTCCTCTTTTATCCCATCTCTCCTTCTCTTGTCACACTCTTCTTCCAGCCCTAGGGCAGTCGGAGTTCCTGGCTCTTCTTATCTTCTTCCATTGACAGATTAGCAATGCCGCTTACGACCCTTCCCTGATGAAACCGTGGTGGGAATGCATTGGTTCTGCAAGTCAAGGTGAAGAGCTGGGTGCTGCAGCATCGTTGCAGTAGTTCCAGCAGTAAACGCGCACCTAAAGGAGATCCCGTATCTTTGTTTCAATTGCTCGTTTTGAGCACACAACTGCCAAAATGTATCCATTCCTTCATGGCGACCTGGAAGCAGTCGTGATCTGATATTGAGCCAGCTTGAGAGTTACGTGGGACTTTCTTTATCATTCCATTCTATTTTCAGCCCTCATGCATTCTTCGACATTCACATGACCTTATTGTAAGTAGAGGAATATTATAACCCACCTCTTAGATGCTCTTTCATTTTTTAAAAAGCAAACATTTCTCTGTTTTTGTCCCCAGTTTTTATTTTTCAGACCTGTTACACAAAAGTGTTGCATTCACAAACTTAGTGCAGTCAAGGTTTCATATTAAACAAATGAAGATCCTGCTTTTTATTCATTAAGACATGTTTACTACTGCCTTGTTAAAACTACCCTCCCGTTTTTTTTAAAAACATGCACATGAAGCTATTTCCAAATAGTTCAGTCTTTTATGCAGTGGCGCTAGCTTTCATTATAACATTCCTTCAAATAGATCCAAACTTCACACTCTAAAAAATGCTGGGTTAAATACAACCCAGTGCTGGGTAAAATAGGGACGAACCCAGCAATTGGGCTGTTTTGACCCAGCGGTTTGAATACATGTTTAACCCAACCTACTGGGTAGTAACCCAACCGCTGGTTCAAAATAACCCAATTGCTGGGTTTGTCCCTATTTTACCCAGCACTGGGTTGTATTTAACCCAGCATTTTTTAGAGTGCAGGTCTTGCTTTATCACGACCTGAAAACAGCCCAACATGAAAGCGTTCTTTAATTAAAAACACTTGAATTTAATCTACTAGTGTAATCGAATGAAACTGACACGTAGCCCTTGATAAGAAGTGGAAATGCTGAGTTTGTAGTGTTAACAAGTATGCGTAACCAAAAGCAATGAAAATGGGTGACTGTGTAACCTGAAAAGGAGAGCTATACTTGAGAAAGCACCTCGTGTATACAGAAGTCCATGCACTTTATCAGTATCTTTTGTGTTGTGTGTAGTTTGTGCCAAGTGATAGTTTTGCATCATAAAGACAGGCGTTTTGGAGTATGACCTGCCGAATTAATGTTCGTTTTGAGATTAAACCGTTTTCATTCCCCCAAGGAACATTTCTACAAGTCTTGAATGATCAGTTCTCCTGATAGTGGCTAAAGCTAGTTTTATGCATTGGCTGCTATTGGTACAGTTTGAATAAATAGTCTTCTATTAGTTATGTTTTGTTAATTTGTTCATATTTCTCATGTATTATGAAAGGACTGTATGTGTATCATCTGAAACACAGTCCTACAGCATGCCAGTCTTATTAGTTTGGGTTGAACGGTGTAAAAACAAACAGATTTGGTTCATATGACTAGGCTTAACTACCCAGAATACAGTAATCCACCATTCCTGAGTTTAGTGTGTTGTCATAAGCACATGCTTATAATTAATGCAAGAAATGCAATGCTAGAGAGTTGTACTGCTTTTCAAATACATGTATATATATGTTTTCACACACTGTTTTCACTCCTGTCACAAGAGACCCTTCTTTTGACAAATTGTGTAGTTTTGCCTTTGCACTGCAGTATACTCAAATGTACGTTTTGTAGTCATATTGTAAAAGGAAACATGTCAGTCGGTGCAGTTGTGTTCACCAGCAATAGGTCAGGAAACGTTATCACAAGCTTCAGCACCCGTTAGCTTTGAGTGAAAACAGGTTCTCTATTTATAAGAATCCAAATAAGTGAATCTCACAAAACCCGTCAAATTTCACCCCAAAAACATTTTTTTCATGACAAGCATGTTTTTATGATTGCAGTCTAATTATTACTGTCCCGCACAAAAATTATAACATTTTAATATACATATATAAATAATATATATCAACTATTTGCATATCAGGGCAGTGTGTGTTGTACTAGCTTTGAAAAAAAAAATCATTGTAATACATTTTTTTTATTTTTTACACAATTTGGGAAGTTAATTGTTATATACAGTATATATATATTCCATATGATTTGGGGTGAAACGTGACCTGAAAGGGTTTTTAAAAGTCTGAGAAGCACAGTGTTTGACTGTTTTTCCTGCGAGGGCAGAAGTGCATGAATTTCTCTTCTCGCTGCAATATGGCGCATCCTAAAAATGGCCACTTTCCTTTTCTTTTTCCAAGCTTAAATGTTGAGCTACTTCCTGTTTGCACCTTGTTCTCTTTCCACCTCCAGGAGATGCTGTTTTTGGGTTCATATTTGCATCTTCATCTGTACCCACGGCATCTCTCTTCTCTCCCTGTCCAATAATGTCCCCAACTTGCCGTTTGTCTTAACTAATACTTGATCTTTCATTTTGGATCTATGCATCATGAAGGTGATACTGTTGACCTCCAGTATGTTTTGTCTGTGTGTGTTTATTTGCTATAGATCGGTCTAGTTGTCTGCTCTGAGCTTTAGAGGTTTAAAACATGCTAATAGACCTCAGATGCAAGTTAATCTGGCCTTAGGGTGTTTTAAAGTGACAAAATGCAACAATAGAAATAACAGAAAGCTGGCGAAACATTTTTATTTGATTTGCGAACAAACCAAGTGGAGAAGAACATTAGCAAACAGGTACCGCTTTCTGTCTTAACAAAAGGATGTCGTGTGATACGTATGTCTGTCAATCTCAGTTCTTGCCGTTTAGTTTGTATTTCTTGATTTGAAACGACTGTCATCCATATCATTTACAGATTCTTTTATATGACCATGTTTTCATTTGTCGATTGTGAGGTAACTGGGGAGATCGGTAAATTCGATTTTGGTATTAAAAAAAAGCAATTGTAAATAACTCTAAAAAGAGATCTACTTAAATTGTACTGTACTTTCTAAAAAAAACATTGAAAAACTGATCTATAGTTTTTGTAGATATCTGTACTTTTGATTTATTAAAATAAGATTCTTTTAAGAGATGGATGTGTATGTGTGTTTAATATTGACGGATGAGTTATTTTCAGGTGTCGATTTGCTGTAGCTCTATATGGTTGACTAAAAAAAATAAACTTTGCTTTTTGGGTGCACAGTATTTGCTTATGTTTAAGAGAAGTATCCTTATATTTTATTAAACAGGTGCCTTCTTTATTTCTGTGTTTAAAATTGTAACATAAGCCAACATCTGTCCCTGACTTCTGAATCTGCAGCAGAAGATCTTCTTTAGAAAGTAATTGTCCTGTTGTTCAGTGTCCAGATGATCTTCATATCCTGATGTGGAAGGTGCTAGAAGAGAAAAGATGAAGACATTTTCAGGTTAAAAACATCAACAGTCAGCTCTATCAGACAGTTGATTAGTCAGTGTAAAAGTGATTTACTTTAAAAACAAATTTCACAAACAATTACAAGGAAATGCCAAGTAACACTTGAAATTAAAGTGAACCTTTCAAGCAGAAAAAAATTGAGATCATTTTTTCAGCTTCTAGTAAAAACACTAAAAATTGAAATTCAAAACGAGATCTTGTTTTATTGGATATACTTATAATACTGTATTATAATCTTGTCCTAGTTGCATGTTACCACACAAAATGTGATATTGGTTTAATATAATTGGTGAAACCACCCATCAATAGTCTACAATAGTCAACATATTAAGTGATGGCCAAGTATGGTGACCATACTCTGAGTTAGTGCTCTGCATTTATCCCATCCACACACACACACACACACACTTATGTGCCCAGGGAGCAGTTGGGGGTCCAGTGCCTTGCTCAAGGGCACCTCAGTCATGGTATTGAAGGTGGGAGAAAGCACTGTACATTCACTCCCCCCACCTTCCAGACCTGAGACTCGAACCCGCAACCTTTGGGTTAAAAGTCCAACTCTCTAACCAGTAGGCCATGACTTCCCCTTAAAGGGATAGTTCACCCAAGAACACAAATTAAGATATTATTGATGAAATCCGTGAGATTTCTGACCCTGCATAGACAGCAATGCAGCTGAAATGTTCCCAGGCCCAGAAAGGCAGTAAGGACATCGAAAAAAAAAACGTGGTTCAACCATAATGTTATGAAGCTATGAGAATACTTTCTGTGCGCAAAGAAAACAAAAATAACGACTTTATTCAATGATTTCTTCTCTTCATGAGAGAACCACTGATGACAGAATTTTCATTTTTGGGTGAACTATCCCTTTAATGTCATAGATGCTGTAACTGTGGTGTTAAACCAGGATATTCCTTTAAAATGGTAAAGATGTGCTTAAATGTTTAAACCGAAGCACTAAAATTACCAAGTCGAAATAAAAACAAACTAAAAAAAAAAAAAAAAATTTTTTTTATTAAAGTGATTCATTAATATTTAAATATTTTGAATTAGTGTGAGTTTTGTGTTTGTGTCATTTATCTCTTTTAATACATTGTTTTAATTTTTTCAGTTTTAATTATTTTAGTAAATTGTTAAATGAAACAAGAAATGTTGCCTTAGAAACTTGCTGAAATAAAATGTTTAAAAATTAAAAAAAAAAAATTTTTCATTTCAGCTACGTTGTTATTTCAATTACCATTTTTTTAATGGTTTTAGTCAACTATAGTAGCCATTTCAAACAGAACATCAGCTTAATTGAATAATGATCACTTAAATCCAAAGCATCATTCTGTTACAGTTTTCATTCCAAACTAGTTTTAACTGTAGAAACAAAACGTTAAGCGTCATTTAGTGTGTAGTTGTTACCTGAGGAAGTCAGGCGCTCTCACGATCATGTGCTGGAAATCCTCTAGAGACAGACGGCCGTCATTGTCCAGATCAGCTTCATCAATCACCTTCTCACACACCATCCTCACCTCATCCTCGGTCAGCTCGTTACGAGTCAGCTTATTTAAGGTTTTCTCCAGATCTGATTTACAGATGAAGTCATCGTTGTTGAAGTCTAGAGGGAAGAACGAGGGTAAGCTGTTAGACTCTTCTGGTGGCTTCAGCAAGTAAATAACTTATAATAAATAAATATAATTTTTTTTTTATTTTATTTAATTTGTGTTTAAATTTTACTCTAAGCTACCAATAAAATAAATTACTAAAGCATTTTAAAGCTTTTAAATTGCCTTTAAAAAGCACAAGCCAATTGTTTTTTTATTTATTAATTTATTGACCTATTTTATTGTTACATTTAACTATATTTTTAAACATAAATAATTTTTTAAGTATTTAATACGATTAATTTTTTTTTTAGAATAATTACAAATATTTTTTTATTTTATTTTATATTTATCATATAATTTATTTAATATGTGGCAACCATGGTTTGAATATTTTTAACAATGAATCTTTTGGTGTGTTGAGTCTGAATAAGATGCATAATTTTAACATACACACTCAGAAATAAAGGTACAACAGCTGCCACTGGGGTGGTACCTTTTCACTTTTGTACCTACACTCTTAAAAATAAAGGTGCTTCAAAAGGTTCTTCAAGCGATGCCATAGAAGAACCATTTTTGGTTCCACATAGAACCATTCAGTCAAAGGTTCTTTAAAGAACCATCTCTTTCTTACCTTTTTATAATCTGAAGAACCTTCTTTCGCCACAAAACATAAATAATTTTTTAAGTATTTAATACGATTAATTTTTTTTTTAGAATAATTACAAATATTTTTTTATTTTATTTTATATTTATCATATAATTTATTTAATATGTGGCAACCATGGTTTGAATATTTTTAACAATGAATCTTTTGGTGTGTTGAGTCTGAATAAGATGCATAATTTTAACATACACACAGAAATAAAGGTACAACAGCTGCCACTGGGGTGGTACCTTTTCACTTTTGTATCTACACTCTTAAAAATAAAGGTGCTTCAAAAGGTTCTTCAAGCGATGCCATAGAAGAACCATTTTTGGTTCCACAAAGAACCATTCAGTCAAAGGTTCTTTAAAGAACCATCTCTTTCTTACCTTTTTATAATCTGAAGAACCTTCTTTCGCCACAAAGAACCTTTTGTGAAACAGAAAGGTTCTTCAGATGTTAAAGGTTCTCTATGGAACCATTTAGACAAAAAGGTTCTTCTATAGCATCGTGAAGCACCTTTATTTTTAAGAGTGTATTATTAGGTTCTAATATACACTTTATACGTACCTTTAAGGTACCAAAATATACTCTTTAGGTACAAATATGTACCTTTTAAAAAGGTACCTCCCCAGTGACAGCTGTTGTACCTTTATTTCTGAGAGCATAATCTCTTGTTCAAATCATTGGTCTCTATTGTTTGAGAGCGTTATCATTTACCCCGCGTTAATGTTGCATGAGTACAGAGTTTTTTCTTTTGACAGCAGCAGATCAGATCTTTTATTCTGTCGTTTAATTAGACGGCTGTACGAACACAGATATGAACCGAGCTTTTCATAGGTAGTTCCCTCATTAATGAACTTGTGAATTATTGATATTCATAAACTGAAACCTGAAATAAAGCATTTTAGATGAAAAACAAACGAAACGGACGACAAATATTGGAAAGGTTGCCTTGGCAATCATACTGAAATAAGTTTAAGTTGAAGCAATAAAATAAAATTAAAAACTGAAATGAAAACTAATTAAAACGAAATAAAACTATACAAAAATTAACATATAATTATAAAATTAATTATATATAATTATAATTATAAAATTAAAATTATATATATATATATATATATATATATATATAAATGAAAAAGTAAAATGCAAAAATTTAACTAAACTTAAAATGGAAAATATTACAATACAAATTAATTAATAAAAACTATATTAGTATATAAATAATACAATACATTATCATTAATCTATTAAATCCAATGCACAATTCCAGTACATCCTTTAAAAATTGCTAATAATTACATTACATAAAAAACGCATTAACAATTATGAACTTGAGTTGAGTTATGAACTTTGGGTTTTAACACACATTTTGATTTGTTAAATATGTGTGTTGCTAGATTCAGTGTTGAAAAAAACAAAAGTACGGTGGCCGAGAAGTGCAGAACAAATCACAATTCTGAAAACAAAATAACAAATTACAAACGCAAATGCAAGTCTAAAAAACACAACAACAATTCAGAAAACATTATAACAAGTCAGAAAACACAATGACAAATTCGAAAACAAAATAAAAAGTCAGAAAACACAACGACAAACCGGAAGCGGTAGGTATAGTTTGAGACAGCGCCATTGGTTTGGGATTAGTCACCGCTGACTGGACGAAACATCTGTCAATCAACGTATACAGGAAGAACCAGCCGAAGAACAGCAGAGTCGTGGTAGAAAGTTCAGAGATGGTATTAAAGCAGCTCAGTTTAAATGTATTGTATGAATTGCCCTTATTCTGGAATTAAAAATACGGAGTGTATATTTACATTTAGTTAAAAGTGTCTGTAGAACATCAGCTCCAGTGGTGTAGATGGATAACCGTGTGTTGTTGGCTTTTTGACGCGATCGACCTGGGTTCGATCCCGCCTTTTGACAAACTTTTTTTCCCTCCCTTTTCAAATCTCGTATCACATCGTAAAGCTGTTTGAAACTGCTGGATAAGTAAGGTAACACTATAGATTAGGGAACGCCACTCACTTGCTTATTAGCATGCATATTACAAGTATATTGTCTGCTTATTAGTAACCATAAAGCACACATTAATGTCTTATTCTGCATGACCATGTTCTAGATCCCTTATAGGGATAGTTCACCCAAAAATGAAAGTTCAGTCATTAATTACTCACCCTCATGTCATTCCAAACTCGTAAGACCTCCATTCATCTTCGAAACACAAATTAAGATATTTTTGATGCATTCTGACAGCTCTCTGACCCTCCCATAGACAGCAAGGGTACTACCAAGATCAACGTCCAGAAACGTAGCAAGGAGATCGGTAAAATAAACCATGTGACATCAGGGGGTCAACCGTTTCTGCGTTGTTTGTGCTTTGATCTGAACGGAAACAGCGTATCCGTGTGACGCAGCTGACACAGAACAACATACGCTGTTTGCGTTCAGTAGATATTCTCCAAAATGGCACTATGGTGGAGACAAATTGTTGAATACAGTCTTTATTTTTTTTCTTTTGCACACAAAAAGTATTCTCGTAGCTTCGTAATATTACAGTTGAATCCCTGATGTCACATGGTTTATTTTACCGATCTCCTTGCTACGTTTCTGGACTTTGATCATGGCAGTACCCTTGCCGTCAATGGGAGGGTCAGACTCAGAGAGCTGTCAGAATGCATCAAAAATATCTTAATTTGTGTTCCGAAGATGAACGGAGGTCTTACGGGTTTGGAACGACATGAGGGTGAGTAATTAATGACAGAAATGTCATTTTTGGGTGAACTAACCCTTTAATACACTCTAAAAAATGCTGGGTTGTTTCAACCCAACTTTGGGTCAAATATGGACTAACCCAAC